TACACCTTGGTTGAGGATGAAGATGTCCAATTTAGTTATTTGCAGTTGAAGTGTTAGTATTTGTACTATAGCCTTGCCTATTAGGAGGTTGTGTACCATATGAGTCCATCTTATGATTTTCACTTTAAATTTGACTGAATATTAATCATGCATAGCTAGCCTCTTCAGTTATACTTAGAGTTATTAACCAAATGCATTAATGAGCTTATTATGGTTGAGTTGGATTCGAGTATTCATTTTGTTAGTACTTATCTATATTCTTATATATTGTACCTAGAGTACTACTCTAGAAAATTATATAACTTGATGATATAAGTTTGTGTTTGGGTCTTATAAAGGCATCTTTATGATTACTTATAAACTTTGTCAAGAACTATTAACACTTGCTTAATTCAATGATGATTTAGTAGTGATGGGCTTACTTATTAGGTGGTGTTACGAAGGATTGCGTCGTTAGGCTTACATGATTTTCCATATTAGAATATTGATTCCATCTCTGTTGATATTGTTTGATTGCATTTAGTTTATAGTGTGGGATTACATTGAGTCTTGGATATGGTGATTCACTCTTTAATACTGTATTATTTGTAGCTGAAGAAATAGTTTCGGATACTAGATATAATTTCGATCTTAGTTAGCTTGATTGTTAAAGAGCTTTTAGTGGTGATTCATTCTTACTTTCTTTTGTTGGTCTGGTTGTAAAATCTTGAATTTGGACTTCTCAGGAGGTCACCCAGCCCAGTACTATTCAAACCCAAAGATGTTTAACCCCAAATATCTCAAGACTTTAAATTGATTGGAAAAGGGGGTGCATTTTTATTCATGGCCCCTTTCCCTCTATATTTAAACCTTATGGATTGTCTCTCAAGTTATTCTCTTTGATTGCTTATAATTCATTACACTTCTTTACAAGTTCACACCCTTGTGAACAAAAGCTGAGAGCTGTAGCTCTCCCAAGAGCCCTACTCTCTTAACACCCTACCCCTTGAGTCGAGCCTAGCTGAAGCAAACTAGACTTGCCAAATATCAATCAATATGTAGTGTGATTCCCTTACCCAACTAACAGAATTGAACTTGAAACCTCTTTGATACCAAATGTAAGTTTCTAAATTTGGACTTCCCAAGAGGTCACTTAGCCCAGTACTATTCAAATCCAAGGACGCTTTACCCCAAATATCCCAAAACCTTTAACAGATTAGAAAAGTAGGTGCATTTTTTAGCATACAATTTGTGTTCTCTTAGTTTCTTAAACACCTTCGTCAAGTGTTCGGCATGCTCTTCTAGTGTCTCGCTATAGATCAAAATATCGTCAATATAGACAACCATAAAGTGATTTAGATAGTGTAGTTTATTAGCCCCAAAAATATTGCCGGCACATTGCATAGCCCAAAGGGTATCATCAGAAGCTCAAAGCTTCCATACCTTGTTTGATAGGTTGTCTTCTCGACATCTTTCTTTGCTACCTTGATTTGGTAGTATCCCGACCTTAGGTGAATCCTCGAGAAGTATTTCACCTTTCCCAACTTATTGAATAGATCCTCAATCCTTGGTAAAAGATACTTGTTTTTCTTTGTATACTTGTTGAGCAACTAATAGTCTATGCACATGTGCATAAATCCATTTTTCTTTTTCATAAATAACATCAGTGCCTCATATAGTAATTTGCTCAACCTAACATACCCTTTATCGACTAACTCTTCAAGTTGGCACTTGAGCTCCTCAAAATTCTTTTTCATTCAACCAATAAGGGGGATAAACCACCATTTTAACACTCTTAACCAACTTAATCTTATGTTTTATTGATTGTACGAGGGGTAACCCCATTAGTAGCTCCTTTGGCATGGTATCTTGAAATTGGTTCAACACTTGCAAATCTCTAAAGGTACTTCTTTTGTTCCCATCTTTTTTTTAACTCTTTATTAAAAGTAAGCAAAAAAATGTTACCTTAGTTTCTTTAGTGAATTGTCCTTTCATAGACACCAAGTTCAAGTAGGAATCTTTGGCCTTACATTGCCTGACCTTTAGATCTTGGGCTTTCACCTTGGATTGTTCTCCTCGGGCATTCACCAGTACCACAAGGTTCCTACCTTGTCTATGCAGGGCTATTATAAACCGATTGAACTAATCCATCCCGAAGATTATATCAAATCCCGCCATATCCAACATAATGAAATCTATGTCTACTTTTCATGTCCCTACTTCGACTCTTGTTTGTCAAATTACCTCATCGGTGCTTTGGCTACCTTGAACAAATGCTATAATATTTGGTTCACCCAGCCGCTACACCGTTAGTTTAGCTTGCCGAACTATGTCTGCAACCACAAAATTATCCGAAGCACCCATGTCAATAAAAATCTTAACAAAGCTACCTCCGAGCTTCCCTCAAAGGGCTAGTAAATGTCGCGAACAACTCTCTACCAAAGTTGCTCGTATAATGAATAACTTTGAGCTAGGGATTGGATCATGTACTTCAGTGGGGATTTCACTCGACTTAATAGCCATATTAGCTCTGGCCTTCTTTGGGTAGAGACATTTTTTTGAAAAGTGTCATACTTCACCATAGTTGCAGCATACATTGTTTTCCATGCTATTAGCCGACTTGACCTTTTTATCTGTGGGTTTGTATTTTTTGGCTTAACTCCCCCATGTATTTGTTTGCTGGCCATTAGATCTACCTTTCTAAAACCCTAAGGACTCATTTTTAGAGAAACTCTTCTTGAATTTCCCTTTATCACATGTCCCCTTTGGTTTGGCTCCTTTGCTAAACGTGGGCCCCGACCCCGTTGTGTTCCCCTTTTGTAGGTTATCATTGAAATGCACTTAATAACTGCATTCAATGCTTCCTTATAGTTGGTTGGGTTTCAATGCATCACTCACGTCACTTCAAGCCCAGGTCTGCAAGCCTAATATGAAGGTATGGAACGCATCCATGTCACCCATGTCTGTGATAAGAATCGTCTTTGCTATAAATGTATTTACATACTTTTGAATAGTTCCTGTCTGCTTCAACCTACTCAACTCATCCTTTAGGTGTAAAGTAGCATTCGAAGGAATGAAAATTGCGTTGATCCTCACCTTCATCATTTCTCAAGTGGTCACCAATTCTTCGTTAACCTTTATTGTTCTCCACCAAGAATTAGCATTATTTGCCAAGTATGGTTTTGTATATAGGACCTTCTCCGATCTTGGTAACTACAACACTTGGAAATAATCCTCCATATTGTAAAATAAATCCTCTACCACTTTATAGTCATTCACTCCCTTGAAGACTGGTGGGGGCTTTAGTTTGTATTTGGGAACTACTTGAAGGACTGATTCCACTTCAGTTTATTTGACCTTATTCGGTTCTACCTCAGTCCCCACCAAAAGGTCAATGCCTTCTACATTGCTAGCATTTGCAGTCTTTTGCTTTTTCTTCCGCTTCTCATCACACTTTAGCTTGCATATGAAAGTCTCTAGCAGGGCATTGGTCTATGCCAATTGTCCTTTTAAAACGTCCAATCAAGCTTTGGATGACTAAACTTTACTATCGGACTCCTGTTTGGAAATTTCCTCACTCGAGTCTTCCTTATGCAAAAATTCTTCATCCATAGTTTCTTGTTTGACCGAAGACTCTAGTTCTAGAGGAGGTTCCATCTTTGTCTTACAGCAATCTTTGCAGTGGCAGGCTCGAGACTATTGTCCTCAATGCCTCCTCCTCCATGTGTCAGAGCAGTATGATGGAGAAGAAGGCCCTGACACATCATACTGCTCAAGGCCTTCTTCTCCAATGTGTCACAGCGACTGAGATTTCTGCTTTGCTCCAAGTTCTTGTGTCGAGCACTTTTCTGGCTGCATGACAGCACAACTCTTTCGACATGGCTACTTCTAGCCAACAATCCTCAAGGACACCAAGGAGTATGCACAATAGTGTCTACAATGCCAACAACACAACCCTAGGAGTAGTGTCCCACGTCTTCCTCTTCATTGTGACAAACTACTGGATCGAGGCCGTTCCCCTCAAATGTGTAGATCAGTACACAACAACGAAGTTCATCTATGAGCATATCATGTGTCACTTCAGCATCCCCACAGAGCTCATCTCTAACAGTGGAGGATCTCTTTCTAGCTGTTAAAGATTCAACATGTTCATAACAACAGCTATTTTCCTCAATCCAATGAGTAGGCTGAATCCAGCAACAAGAGCACTTTGGGCATTCAGGACAATGTATAAACATGCCAAAGTTAAATTACAAAGTGGACCAGCGAAAATGAATAAACACAATAAATCTCGACTTCAAAATCTATTTTTTCCTAGCCGGTTGGATTTGATGCACACACAGGAACCCAAACATGGTGGACTGATGGTGTACCTGCCATCTCATTCTTTAGCACCAAAAAGGAACAACCATTATTTGCAACAATAGTTCACATGCACAAAGCACTTCGACATCACCACTGTTAGTGCTAACATCTGTAGTCCCTTCCACTACCTTTTCCCACCATTTACAGCTTTCTCTCATACAACTTCCGAGCACACATCTCTCTTGTATTTCCATTGTAAGCTTGGGCAACTTGGAGGAACTTTCTGAAGGCTCAAGAACGCACGAGACTGTGATCCAAGTGAGCATTTGTTCCTCTTATTTTAGTTCTTATTCCCTTCTCTATGTTTCTCTTCCCATTGATCACTTCATACTTTTCACGCTATTTTATTTGGTCTTCTCTTCTTTTTCTTTTTGGACTTGGGTTCAGTTTGCACTCATAGTTTTCCCTAATAACTCCAAACTCTATCCCTCTTCCTTTTCTTTTATTTTGGTTTCTCCAATTTCTTAACATGGGCATTGCATTAAACATTTAAAGGCTGCTAGGTTCTCTTCACATGACAAACATGCTTGATCCATTTTGGTCACTTGTTGGGATGTGAGTTATATCCATGAGCCATTGGGATGCAAGCCACATCTATAAGCCATCAGCCACTAGAGAGAGAGCAAGAGATTTAGAGAATATTTGTATAAAAGCCCATGTGGACGGTCATCTCTGCTTTAGGCTTGGCCACCTTCACCAAGAATGTCAAGAACTCTTTGCAAACTATGATTGAAGTGATTATTAACAAGGCACCATTGATAAAGGTGCATTCCACAGGCTCATTGGGAAAAGCAGAGTCCGTGATCGTCAAGTCATGATTTTTGCAATCTCTAAATTTCCTTGTCTCTTTCAGTGCTTTGACTTTGACTGCAGGATCAAAGTCATGTGGCCGTGGCCACATTCTCTCCCAAGTTCGTGATCTTTGAAGTCACTCCTGCAGACAACCAGGACAAGAAAAAGCTCAAGATATGTGTTTACAGCCAGGACTCATTTTTGCGAAGTGCTTTCAAAGAACAATCGTCAAACACGCGGAAATAAAAATCTGGAGAGTATGGCGCAATGACTTTGACCTGCTGGAATTTCGTGCAGTATATGATGGTAAGGACTTGAACCATCTGTAAGCATTTCTGCTGTTGCATTCGAATGGATCCATGGAGGTTACTTGCTGTTTTCCTACTTGCTATCAGGCTTGTTTTTCATGGTCATGCAGATGCTGCAGATTTAGAGACTGAAGCACTCTTGAGCTTTAAGAAATCTATGGATGATCCTCTGTCGTCACTGAATAGCTGGAACAGAGAATCAGACGTTTGTCAATGGATTGGTATCAATTGTTCCTCAGCAGGCCAGATATCTGGTATACAGCTCAATTATCTCTCACTTTCAGGCCCTCTTCCGTTTTATACAATCCAAGCCCTGCCTCAACTACGCACCTTGTCTGTTTCTGGGAATAATTTCACAGAGATCAAAGTATCCTCCTCGCAAGAATGCTCTCTGGAGGTCCTTGACTTGTCAGGGAACCATTTCACTGGGGATTTTCTCGACACTCTTTCTCGTTTGGTTACATGCAAAGGCATCAGGATTTTGAACCTCTCACACAACAAGATACGAAAAATTTCAGTGAAATTATCGATTGGGAACCCCATGGTTTCTGTCGACCTATCCTACAACAGAATAAGTGGTTCAATACCTTCTTCTTTCTTTTTATCATGCAAGAGCTTGAAGTTTCTAGATGTCTCGAGCAATCAGCTGGTTGGAGGGATCCCTGAAAATATGTCCAAAAACTGCAGAAGACTTCAGAAGCTTAACGCTTCGTCCAACTTCATAACAACCTTTCGGCTTGAGCAGTGTACCAGTCTGCAGGAGTTGGATGTTTCTTTTAACAATATTTCTGAAACTGTTTTTTGGAAGGATTGTGATGCTTTGAAGGTGCTCAACCTGTCAGACAATCAATTCTCTGGACCATTTCTCTCGGTATTTGGCAATCGAAGTTTACCTCAGGTTTTCAAGTCCCTGGAGGTTCTTCAAGCCGACCACAATAGTTTTACAGGTGAAATACCTACAGTTCCTCCAACTCTTGAAGCTCTAGACTTGAGCTGCAACAAATTCAGTAGTAGCAACACGAACATCTGCCTTTCAAATTCTAAACTTCAGTCTTTGGTGTTGGTATACAACAGGTTGCGTGGTCCGGTTTTAAACTTGGCCATGAACTGTAGCAATTTAAAGATGCTCGATCTGAGTATCAATTTTGTGACAGGGTCGCTTCCAGGGAATATATGCAGCAGACTTTCAAAGCTTCAACATCTGATCCTTTGGGGTAACAATCTTGAAGGCAGGATACCAGCGACAATCGACGAGTGCAGTGAGCTGGTGACCTTGCATCTCAGTCACAACAATCTTACAGGTGTTATACCGGAGGAGATATCTCGCCTGAAGAATCTGTCCTTGCTGGTTCTTAACAACAATATGCTATCTGGAGAAATCCCGGCATCTCTTGCAAAGATGCAGAACATTCAAGGTCTTCTACTAGGCCATAACAAGCTTCAAGGTGGTCTACCAGGCGAGTTAAGGAACACCAACAGTTTAATTCAACTTGCAGTGAACGACAACCAGTTGGCGGGACCAATCCCAAGCTGGATCGGCTGCTCCGTTAAAGAAGACCAGTATGATATGAAGTACCCCTATTTGATGGTACTGTTGTTCAACGTACAGCCATCCATCTGCAAAGGTTACAATGAGATGTTTATACTGCAAGGAATCCGTTTCCATGAGTTCCAGCAGCTTCCGATTGCAACCAGATGCCAGACTTGGTACTTCCTATCACCTCCCGGTTTCAACATTTCTTTAATACCAAGTACTACTCAGGGACTCAGCCCTTGGTGTATTGATCTCTCGTTCAACAGCTTCACAGGAACAATCCCAGCAGAGTTTGGTGCTATGCAAAATTTATATTCGCTGAATCTTGCGCACAACTTACTCACAGGGGCTGTTCCCTCCACAGTTGGCAATCTCAAGCAACTGGAGTGGCTAGATCTCTCATACAACCAGCTCGAATCACACATCCCGGGCTCGCTCACAAACCTCACCTTTCTGAAATACTTCAACATCTCACACAACAGGCTTCTTGGTGGGATTCCACAGAGTGGGCAGCTTCCAACTTTCCCTGCGAGCAGCTACGAAGGAAATCCAGGACTATGTGGCATCCCGCTTGCAGAATGTCATGGTAATGATTATAATTTAGACAATCATTCTGGTGACAAGGATGATGATGAAGATGTAAGTATGTTAGCTGGTATTGTTGCTGCTGTTGTTTCATTCCTTGCATGGAGCTGTGCAGTTTTTTTCAACAAGAGATGGGAGAGAATACTTAAACGGTTTGAAATTATGTAACCATTGGCAATTGATATAGTAGTGGATATACCTTGAATATGACTTAATGTTTTGGGTAGTATGGCTACACTTGGCTTTTCCTGACTCTGCTTTACTGTGGTAATATCACCACTATTTCTCTGACCAAGACTACTAAGTTTCATGGTAGGATGAAGCATATTTAACCTTAATATCACAATACATGATTGTTCTCCAGTTTTGCACCACTTATGAGCAGCTAATTGATTTGCCCATAAAGGTGTTGGCTCCTAAAAAGTTTATTGCTGATCACAACAACCTTTAACTCTTGCCCAAAAAATAAATCTAGACAATGGAGTTTTCAGTTATCCAGCTAATGGAGGTACTCTAGTGGAAATATGCAGCCTATATGTAGATCCAGCTACTGGAGACTGTGCAGCACCCAGGCAGTGAGTCCAATCCCAGACTGAGTGGGAGTGTTAGTAGTTTAGTCACTGCCTCTATAACACATAATCAGGTTACTTTTGTACTTAGGATTCATCTTGATGCTCTTCAGAAGTATCATCACATTATGACTTTTGCATGAAGTTAAAGAATCACAACGAGCTATGGTTGTGATGTAGTCTTCCATTGGGACCATTAGGTTTGTGCTTCGTGGGATGCTATGGAACACACTGACTCAATGACTTTAGTGGTCACCAATGAGTGGAAGTTTGTGCAAGAACATGCCTATGGAAATAGATGTTTGACATTAGCTTTTACAAAATTGTGATATTACAGATAAAGCAATTACCCAAAGATATATATTTTAACCTTTTGAGTAATCCATTTTGATGTATTAGTTTTTTTCATACTTTTTGGTTTGCTTAAGCAAACCTGTAAGAAGATGGTAGTGGATATACCTAGAATATTCTTAGATTTCTACCATCTAATGGTTGTTATTCATTTAGATTAATCTTGTATATATAATTTATAGACTTTATTAATTACTTTCTAGTATATTATTTTTTATTCTACCATCTAATGGTCGATATGCAATAAGATTAATCTTGTGTTTATATATTATAAACATGTTTATAATTATAACATTTTATTTTGGATTAATAAGTAAGAATAACACTGCTATACATGCAACATACAACGTAATCATTTTAAAGAGTTTTTTACTTTATATGGAATGAAAAAAATTTCACTTTATTCCTCAAATCTTGTAAAAGTGATTAAGGATAATTTAACCTATGAATCTTCTCACTGATCTTATTCTAATTCATGTTCTTGGCACATGCCCAGTGTTCCAAACTCATCTAGAAGGTAGTGCTTTCTTCCACATTGGGAAGAACATATCTCAGCTTACAATCTGCATTCCAGAGCATAGTCTCACGTCATGTAACAAACAAGAAGATGAGAGCTGGGCAAACTGGTCTTTTGAATACATCGGTGCCTTCATAGGGAAATACTACTGAGCATCACTCCTGATTGATAAGAGAATTGAGGTGACGACAATGGAGTGGCAATCTAATGGACCCTAATCTACTTTGCCTCTCCCTCACACTCACTCTCCACTCATCTCCAATCTTCAACCTTCTTCTTGCACATATGCACTATGGTTTATAAAGTTTAATCAATGAGCATGTTAAAGCTTTGCACGGGATACTTGAAAATCACAAGAGCCCCTGCCATTTGTATTCAAATAAGTCCAGCATTCTGGAGTCACCTCGCCGCAACTTGCACAAGCTCTATAGAAAGCCCAGAAGCGCTGCAAGCTTCTTGGAGCTTTTGAGCTTGGACAGATCCTTCAGGACAAAACGCCACTACTGCTCCGCCGCTGCCAGTGAATTTGCATGCCGCTCCGACGCTTCGTGCCGTCTCAACCATCTGGATATTCAGAGCTCCAAGCGCATCGTCCCCAAACATTTCTCTGGTGAAAGGAGTTACTTTGGTTGACACCTCGAAACAATTCTCATTACCTTCGCAGGTCAAAGTTGCGATCCATAAGCTCGGCCAGCAACGAGTGATTTCCTTCCAGCAAAGCCTGTTTGCCTCGGAGAGCCAGCTCCGCTACTTCCCTCATCTTTGTTCTCACGGTCAGATCGCCATCCAGCCATCGCTGCTTCACCGTGCTATGGACCTACAGCAACGGAAGAAAATCATTAGCAACCGCGTGGATGCTTTCCAAAAAACGAACTTTGCCAGAGTCGCTCGGGTTTTGTGCGTAGATTACGTACAGTGGAGGCAGGAGTTGAGGATCCATTCGCTTGTAAATCCCATTCCCAGTTCTCAGCATGTGTTCCTCGTCAAAGTCCTGAACCAAAGTTGCTCTATAAACTTCACAAGAGAGAGGATAAAAAAGTGAGAGCCACTAACCATATAAACTAGGCCTCCATAGACTTGTGCTACTCTGTCTTGCAAACCAGCCGTGATCCCGAGCTCGACTTCGGCACTGAGAACAATTTTCGGTCGGTCCTCTACTGGGATGCGATCGCGGACGTTGTAAAAATCCATGAGGCAATTCATGGTAGCGCACACAAGAGCACTAGATCCAGATAAGCCTGCCTAGCAACACAAAGTGATAGAGCTCGAGAAGATAAAAAAAAACAAAAAGTTCTAGAATTTTAGCACCTGACGAGGAATGTTGGTATCATAGGAAAGAGTGAAATTTCCATCGTGTAGATCAATTCCATGAGACGAGCAATAGCTATGGAATGTCTTGCAAGCGGCGGTGAGAAGCCGGACACCACCGTAATATCCCTCGCTCTGGACTCTCCCCACCTGCAAATATTTTCCAATCAATCCTGACATTGGAGCTCAGACGCGATCCCCACTCACCAGATCCTGGATGGAGCTGAAGCGGCAGAGATCGTGGTGGGAATGCGGCACGAGCGCGAGCAAATCCGACGGCTGGAGCGACACCGTCGCCCAGAAATTCGAGATCGCGAGCGCAATTGTGCGGCCGTAGTAGCCATCGCTCGGATTCCCCAGCAGGCCAATGCGCGCGTATGCCCTGTGCTCCACAGCACCCATCTCCTCCCAAGAGCCCTAAACGCATCTTCGCAAGAATAATCTCTACTTTTAAAATTCATGGGCGGGAAAACAATTTTTCTTCCTAGGAGCTGGAGAGAAAGAGAGCACCCTGCTCCACCAATCGACCTGTGGATTTGCCAATCATGGATCTCACTAGATTCTTTTTTATTTCTGCAAGCTTGTTCCTCGAAATGTGGCTACTTCATTGACAAAGGTCACTGTTGCAAAAACATACTTCTACCATGACCACTGGCGTTGCATGCTCTCCAATGAAAGACCTCTAGTCCGAATTCTCAAGGTGAACTACATGTTGCAAGGACCAAATGTTATGGAAGGTAAATAAAGTTGACCTTGGAATTGCGATGTTGCTACTTATCAAAATGAAAGCTGACCGATGGAGCCAAGCAGAAGGTAAATGTAGCTGTATCTTGTCTTAAATTGACGCTTGAAAAGCATGTTGGTAGACTTTCAATGCAGTCAGCATTGAAAGAGGTAACAGATGCTAGTTCTCATTATTGAAGTTACGCAGGCAAGTATGACTTTTCTCTGTTCACATTTTGAGTTTGCAGCTGGCGGTGACGATTCAGATTTGCTGTTCAGAATGTGAAGCTGAAATTAGTCTCAAATTTCTTCATTTAGTGTTATGATTTGGTTCCCAATGTTTTCGACTCTGGATCCAGCTGGTCAAAGTCACCTAGCCATACACTCCTGAGCTCGTGGTCCCGAAATGAGGATTTCCTCCTATAGGGGAAGAAAGAAGTCTTGTGCTGTCAGGACTCACTTTGCCTATTTCAAGGTCAAAGTCATGTGTGCCATATATTCTCCAGATCTTCACTTCCGTGAGTCCAGTGACATGATTGGTTTTCGAAAGAACTTCCCTGCAGTGTAGACGGACTTGAACAATCTGTTAGCATTTATTCTTGCGGTTGCATTCTAATTTCTAATGGATCCATGCTACTTTTATTGTCCTACTTCTTGTCAGACTTGTCTTTCATGATCATGCAGATGCTGGAGCTTTAGAGGTTGAAGCATCCCTCAAGATATGTTTTGTGACTCTACTAGAGCTTTCAGTGGCTTCAAATAATATGACAGAGAATGTTCTCAATGATGTTTCGTCCAATTTCTTATCAACTTTGGATTGAGCATTGCACGAGTCTGCAGGAGTTGGACGTCTCTCTTAACAACATTTCTGGAACAGTTGTTTGCAAGGATTGTGATGCTTTGAAGGTGCTCAACTTGTCAAACAAGCACTAATCTAGACCATTTCTCTTAGTATTTGCCAATCAAAGTTTACCTGAAGTTTTTAAGTAGAGGTTCTAACAACAGTTTTACAGACTTGAGCTGCAACATGTTCAACAGTAGCAACGCAGACGTCTTTCAAATTCCAGACTTCAGTCTTTATACAACAGGTTGCGTGGTCCTGTTTTAAACTTAGCCATGAACTGTGGTAACTTAGAAATGCTCGATCTGCGTATCAATTTTGTGACGGGGTCACCTCCAGTGGATATATGGGACAGACTTTCAAAGCTTCAACATCATCCTTTGGGGTAACAATCTTGAGGCAGGATACTAGCAACAATTGGCGAGTGCCGTGAGCTTGAGACATTGCATTTCAGTCACAACAATCTTCCAGGTGTTATATATAGAGATTACTTGGTGGTTCTTAGCAACAATATGCTATCTGGACACTGCTGGGCCGATTCAATGTTTGGATCATGGCATTCCACACCAGAGCTCGCTGATGCATTGATTGGAAGAGAAGCGTGTGGCCATGCTGTGTACACTACTCCACCAATCAGCCAGATTCTTGCCCCTGTTGTGAGATATCGCGCTGATGCATCCACAAGAACGATGGAAATGGCAGAGATTCTTGTAGATCTTGATGGATTTCAAGGCGCCGCTGCCTGACGATCCCGAGTTTGCATCCAGGTTCCATGAGCTAGTTTGCCACCTACCTTTGGGATAAATAACTGCTCTATGATCTACTGATAATATGTTAGCGTTATAGTAACTGAGAAACATTAAGAATCACTTTTAGAGATCTTAAATCTTCAGTATCAACATATAGTTTGGTATTAGTAAGATAAAAATTCATGAAACTGTAAACTGAAGAAAAACAGTAGAAAAAAGAAAAACAACTGTTATTTTTAGGGGGTAGCAGAAACCAAATATGTTATCATAGCCTTCTTTTTTAGTTCACCTTGCCATTGGAATCAACAGAATACAATTGCTATCAGACCAGGCAAAGAGTTTAATGTGGTACACCTGTGCTCAAAATATGAGTTGACTGAAATACTAAAGGCAGCCTGACACAAACCTTGAAGTACGGGTTGAGCATATCAGGGTACCTTAGCGCCCCAATGTCAGCCATGGTCTTCTCGTGATACTCATGCTTGGCAAATAAAGTTTCAAAGCTGTTAATGGTCGGCCGCCCAAGAACTTCAATGTTGATCTTGGTTGATTCCAGGACGTCCTGAACTGGAATGAAATTCACAAACCCTGTGGGGAGAGAAGGCCCAAAAGGCTAGTAGAGCTCTGCTGCTATAATACATAATGCCACAGAATTTACCGCTCTAACAATGGCCGAATCCGGTGACCCGTCGAACTTAAAATCATTAGAGCTTTTGTTGATAAACTTGTCAGCTCTGCTAACCCTGTCACCCATTGGCTCAACCAGGGGGTTTTGCATGAACATGGAGTTGACCTTCTCCCAAGTTCGTTCTTTCGGTGGCACTTTGGCGAGAACGGTGGTTCCCGAGACGAAAACCTTGAGAACCTCATCCGTCTTCTTCACTGTTTCTGCATTCAGGCCCCCAAATGACGGTGCCAGGTTTGTGTGGAGGTAATCCTCGGCACTCTCGGAACGCACATCAATCTGCAGCTTTGCATAAGGAACGAAATTAAGCACTGCTTCAGACAAAACAGGTTCCACTTCACATTACTGAAACCGAAACTCCCCACAATCTCACCAATCTCCTTCAATGAACCGAAGGCCCCAAGCATCGTTTCCATGGTCGCATTGCAAATCAACTTTGGGATAGGTACCGGAGAAAACTCAATTTTTATAATGGGCGGAATGTGAGCAGCTTTAATGGTAAAATAGATTATACATTTTTTGGTTCGATTAAGAATATACATAGAATATATTTGGATATTCTAGAATTATACCATTTAATGGTTGTATTTATAATCTATAAACATGTTTATAATTTATAAACTTAAACACTTCCTAGTATATTCTAGTTTATTATACATAAGATTTTTTTGTTTTTATAAATTATTAACATGTTTATAATATAAACTTCCATTTGATCAATTGGATTAATAAATAGGAATAACACTACTATTAAAAAAAAAAGTGTTGCTACATGCAATACATAGCAAATTATTTTTAATAAATTAATAAGTCAGATAGCATCATAAAAATTAATTCTACAAATATTGCACTTTAAATGAAGAATCATATTAACCATAAATTACATTTAAACTATAATCTTTTTTATTATTAAATTACTATTATAATTTGTGCTTGTTGTTCACGCTCTTTTTGTTTTGGATCCACAAACATATGACTTTGTAGATTGCCAGTTTAGTTATTTACATCATGTTGGTTGAACAGGATCTGCTGAGGATTTCAACTTGAGTAACTTAAGTTGCTGAGCAACAGGTTTGCCATTGACATTTCCACAGTTGCACAAGTGGTCATAAAAACAACTTCATCAATTTGTTGGAGATGCAACCTGTCTCAGAATTAATCAGTTAACTATCCATATTTAAATCATGTTCTTATCACTTTGTTCCAGTCGCCATCAAATAGCTAGGAAGGATGAACAATAGAAACTGCCTCCACCACCCAAAAACCCTAAGCGCATATTCGCAACAATAATCAAATCACAGGCGGGAAGTTTTGAGTTCTTCCATTTCTTCCATGCTTGCCATGAGAACATAAGCCCCCGCCACTTTCTCATCCAGTTCCACTACAGCCTTGAAAGCAATCCTCGCAAATTCCACATTGCTGCTCGCCTTGTAGCAAGCGCAGAGGATCGCCATCCAGAGCTTGGCCGACGACGGCGAGCAAAAACTCGAGCTTCTCTCCGTCACCAGCATCACTGCCTCTTCGATCCTGTTGGCTCGACAGAGGAGATCGACCACGCAGCAGCAGTGCTCGATCGAAGGCCAGATCCCAAACTCGGAGCTCATAGCCTCGAAGAGGTTCTGGCCTTGCTCCACCAGTCCCGCATGGTTGCAAGCGCTGAGAACCACCATAAAAGTTACCGAGTCGGGCTCTTCCCTGTGCTGGATCATCGTCTCCAGGAGCTTGAGAACCCTCCACACCTCTCCAGCGTTGCCATAAGCCGCCATCAGCGAGTTCCAAGTTACCAAGTTCCTGGATCCCGCTGGAAACTCGTCGAAAACCTGCTGGGCCTCGACTAAACTCCCACACTTGCCGTAGAAGTCCACCAGCGCGTTCACCACCTTCGTCTCGCAGTCCAGCTTCTCGGCGTGGAGTTCTTTGTGGATCATCCTCCCGGTTTCCAGCGCTGCTAAGTTTCCGCAAGCTTTGAGAGCCGCGAGATACGTTACTCGATCTGGCGAGCAGCAGCTTTGCTTCTTCATCTCCAGATATGACTTTAGCCCAAGCTCGGCGTCGCCGGAATCGACGTAAGCAAGGATGAGAGAGTTCCACGCGATGGTGTCGTGAGTTTTCATCTGCTGGAAAACGGAGCGAGCATCGATCAGGCTTCCACACCTCGCATAGGCATCCACCAAGCTGCTTCCCAGGTGAGTGTCGATCTCGATCTCGGATCTTAGAGCTTGTGAGTGAATCGCTGCGACTTTCTCTAGGTGTTTTTTCCTGTGTTCTTGATCCTGTTCTCGAGCAGCTAAGTTCCCACACGCCTTGAGTGCCGCGAGCACACTAACTTTGTTTGGTCGTCCTTCTTCTTCGTTATGCATGGAAGCATAGAGCTCCAGAGCCACCTCTGGCTCGTCATTCTCGACGCATCCCATCATCATGGAGTTCCAGGACACAGTAGTCCGGTGCTGGATCCCATCAAAGACCCGACGAGCAAGCTCCACCTCCTTGCATCTGGAGTAAAAGTCCACCAAGCTGTTCGCCATCACAGTGTCCCGTCCGAGAAAACCACCTTGATCTGCATGAACAGCCATCCCTTTCTCCAAAGACTTGATCTTCACAAGTTTTCCATCGACTATCGTCGCTTGCTCGTCGTGAGCCAAGCTCGAGCACGCCTTGAGCGCAGCCACGACAGTCACTTCGCTCGGTAAAGTAGATCCTTCGCTTCTCATGCGTGAGTATAATTCTAGCGCGAGCTCAGGCTCGCCAGCGTCGACGTATCCCAGGAGCATTTTAGTCCACGAGACTGGGTCTCGCTGAATAATCTTGTCAAAAACTTCACGAGCGTCATCCAAGCTTCCAGCTCTGGCATAAGCTCCAACGAGTGTGTTCGCCACGAATAGATCCAGCTCCGAGGATGTCAAAGATGCTCGAGAGTGAATTTCTCTGATTCTTCCCAAGCAGCCGGATGACAGCTTTCCATCTCCTCGCTCTTCCTCTAAAACACCTTCGCAAGCTTTGAGAACGGCGACCAAGGTCCGACCATCTGGAACGAATCCACTCTTCACCATCCGGTCGAAGAACTCGAGTCCTCTCCCGGATTTACCATTCTCCACGCACTGGACAATGATCGAAGTCCACGAAACCAAGTCCACTTCTTCCATGCTCTCGAAAACCACCACTGCCTCCTCCAAGCTTCCACAGCTTCCATAAGCCTCTATCAGTGTGTTTGCGACGAAAGTATCCCTGGAAGAAGAAGAAACGTCCCTGTGAATCTCCCGGACTTTCTCCAAGAGAGTTCTTGTTCGATCTTCTTTCCTTTTGATTCTTTTTTCCTTCTCGATCGAAGCACAGGCCTTGAGGGCAGCGACGAAAGATCGACCATCGGGCTGGAATCCCTCGTCTTTCATCCTGAGAAACCACCGCAAGGCCGATTCAAAGTCCCCATTCTCGGAGTAGCCCTGGATCATGGCATTCCACGAGACCAGATCGACCAGAGCTCGCTGCTGCATTGATTGGAAGACGAGGCGCGCGTCGGCCATGCTGCCGCATCGAGCGTACATGGAGATGAGATTGTTGGCGACGTAGATGCTGCTGCTCCAGCGGTCGGCCAGATCGCTGTGGATTCTTGCCCCTGTCGCGAGATATTTCGCGCCGATGCATACCTTGAGAGCCGCAAGAACGATGGAAATGCTTGGCTGGAGGCCATCCCGGCGGAGATTCTCGTAGATCTTGATGGATTTCGAGGCGCCGCTGCCCGACGATCCCGAGCATTTCCCCTTGGCATGGATTTTCATGCTACATTTTGAAAAACCCTAGATTTGCGAAGAACCCTAATTCACGATGGAAAGAAACTAAGAGACGATGATAGTGAGGGAAAAGAGATGAAGAAGCGATGAAGGACGAAGGGAGCAAACGCCATGACTATAGCAGCAGTGAGTGAGAGCGAACTATGAAAGAAGCAGAAGCAACTGAGGATTCTCAAAGGTAAGTTTTCTCTCGTTTTTTTTTTCTATCCTAGTGACCATTGGTTTTCTTTCTTCCAGATCATAAGGTCTGATGATGAACAAGCTAAGAAAGTGCTCACACTGAGATCACGTAGCTCGCCCGCATTGCAAACTTGGCTAATCGAAGGTACCTATACCAAAATTGTGATACTGCTTTAGCATGTCAAACTCGTCGGGAAGTCATGCGGTGTGACCTCCTGTTGCATAGGACTTGTTCGAATGTTTTATTAGAAATTTTCTGTGATGAGAAACTACTAGCATTCTGTAATTTAGCTGATTATCAAATTTCTTGCATCTTGATAGTAAGTGAATGTCAATGTCTCTAAGTGATTCAGCTCAAGTAGCAACATCCACCCTCAAGGCCCATTGCTCGGTTGATTTTCAGACAATCGCCTTGATATCCATAATGTTTCCCACCTTTGTTTTTACAGTTGTGGCCACTAAGCTTCCCATACATCTTACCAGTGCAGACTCTGTCCTCCTGATCACAAGATTCATTAGGAGTGTTGAAGTAGTAGCCTTGAAAAATAGGAGTTGCATAGTAGCCAAGAATTATCACAAGGAAACAAATTAGTACAGCCTTCATCTTGATGTTGCTGTGAAGTTATCCAGAGAGACAAACTAATCAGCTTGAAATAAGGATTCGTGAACTAGAGAGCACCAATTTAAACAAGAAGCTGCTTACATTAATTAAATGTTTACATAGACATAGTCAAGTTAAGGGCCACATGCTACATGTGAAGGTTCTTAAATGCTTCTAGATGAAAATCCATGTTCCTATTCTTATTGCTCCACCAACCTTTTAGAGTTAATAAACAAGTAGAAGAATAATTTCAAGTAGGTTTTAAAAGAAGAAGAAATTTAAGTGTTGGAATCAAATCTTCTTCCAGCTCACATTAAATTCATGATCTCCATATTTGATGTGTTCTCCATTCTCTTCTTTTCCACCTGGAAAATACTTAGGTATAATCCCTTAGTCTACTAATAAATTCAGCTTTAATTTAAATTGCTGTCTAAAAGATGTATAATGACTATGGAAGTCAATGAGTGCATGAATACAGAAAATATGCATATCAATTAACCCAAAAACCTTAGTTTATATACAAAAGCGAGTGGATTGAAATCAATCCGATAGCTACCAAAATCCCACTACATTAATATTAGTATACGACATTATAACTGTACACTTAGACTTTATATCATCCCCTCCTCTCGGAATAATAAAAAACCATTAGGGTTCTTTTATAAATGGGCTAGGATCTGAAGGAATGTCAAGAGGAGGCACTGGCAGATCTGTAAGTGGTATTAGCTATTCCTAATCTTTTTGTACAAAGTGTTTCAACTGTTGCACATGCATAATTTCTAGAGGAGTGGCATGTTGGACATTATGCCAAACCTCATAAACTTGTGGTCCAACTTGTTGTAACATCCAATATAATCCTTTCCACTGAGCAAAGAGCCTTTTAAATAAACCATGTATCGTAAGATGGGGAAAACAAACTAATACCAAGTCATCCATTTTATATTCCGTAGGTGGATGATGATGAAAGTTGTAGTGCCGTTGTTGTCCCACTTATATGCAGCTCAAGTGTTCAATAGACTCCACTTGGACAAGTGGAAGAATGTTCGTCAAATACTGATCCCATGACCTAGCATTGGCAGCTTGTAGCAATCGCAAAAGTAAACCGAGCTCCATTGGTAAAATTGGATCATGACTATATAGGAGTTTATATGGTGAAGCACCAAAAGAACATTGCACCCCTGTGACACATGCATATCAAACAGACAACAAATAACTATCCCAATCCAAATGTTGAAAATTCACGTACTTTCGCAATCATTCCTTTGAATGTCTAAACAAGTCGTTCCACCAAACTGTTTAACTATGGATAATAAGTGCAATTCCTCATTTCCTGGATGCATCTCGGTGTCCAGACTTTCTACTGTAGCAACACCAATAGGACATTGTTAACACCAAGGTCTCCACCCAAAAAATGAAAGTCACCAATCTGGAAAATGTTGACAACATTAATAAGCATGACCAACTTCATCATACACCCAACAATGGACATCATGACCATGACTATGTCCTCGCCTTTATTTTTGAACTTGGGTAGCAACAACATCAACCTCTATTAGAATAAGATAATTTCCCACAAGAAGTGAGCTAAAAGACATGTAGCGAAAAGTGGAAGAAATGACGTGTTATAACATTATGCCAAGCAAAGAGCATCATTAAGGGTGGCTAGAGCAAATGCATGCATAAGTCCTATAAAATTTTGACGAAGTGCTAGCCACAACATTTCTAACTTGATCTACTCTGATATATTAAGCTTCACATAAAGCAAGAGACTTCAGAAACAAACATTAAATTGCATCATAGACTTAAATGTCCTTTGGCAAAGACGATGCAATTGTTAGAAGACATCATTACAACTGTTAGCATGTCTAAATGCACATTTGAAGATAACTAAGAGAATGCTCAAATCCTCATGAGTGGCTACACTCAAACTATTGTGCCATTGCAATGCCATCCTTTGGAGACATGTGGGACCATGCAAACACTAAGCATCATCCTAAGAATGATATGTGGCAATCACCTTAAAGTGATGAAACCAATGGTACACATCATCCCTAGAATTCCCATGGAAGAACTCCAGCCAGACTCAAGGATTGATAGCAAAAGCAAAAAGAGCTATACCAATCCTCGTGAATGTTGCCATCAATTGAGTTTAATTGTTTAACAGTAACCACATAGCATCAAGTAATTGCACCAATTCTACTCCAAAATCAAAGGAAGAGGGTCAAAATTGACTACTAGTCTACCATAAAAATGAATGAAAAGGAAAAAAAGCAAAAAGATAAGAAATTGAAAAAGCTATAAAGAAGGAGAGATCTAAACAATGCAAAAGTTATATCTAAAGTAGAATTTCAAATCCAAACACTCCTCAAGGACAATTAAAATTGCCCCTCATCTCCACCAATGTTGTAGCATACTTTATCTCTTGCCCCTTAACCCAACTGGAAAAAGGGCAATTGTTTGATAAAAGAGCCCTTAATGGCTATTTTATCCCCATTTATCCCCTAAGGTTCCAAGGATCCACAGTGACAGTATATCCAAATTTCATCCTATGATCACATGTGTTACAAATATGAGTGTATAAAATATGGAAATGGAATATAGAAATGTGTATATCAATTAGCCTGAAAACTAACTTATATACAAGAGCGAGTGGTCCAGATTGAAACCAATTTGATGCCTACCAAAATCCCACTATACTAATATTAGTATACGGCATTATAACTGTATATAGAAGGAATTTTTTAAAATTAATAATTTTTAAAATTTATAAATATAAAATTGATTTAAATGAATACCAATCATTAATTGGTAAAATATGCCAGAATATCCAATGATATTTTAGGTATTTCCTATTATAAACATAAGATTAACCTAATTACATATCAACTATTAGATGGGGAGGTGTTTAAGAAAGTTTTTAAATTATGTCATAAGCTCTCTATAACCTTTTGGAAACCTTACCCCTAAAATGCTTATCCATATGCATAATAAATATTGAGTTCAAATCTCATGAGTAAATGTTTAAAGTTCAATCTCTATTATAACTAGTGGATACAGAGAGATGGGCAAATATGTAACACCCTTCCTTTGATGTTAAGCACTAAGTAGCAATTGAAGTGGTGTAAGACAAAAGTGGATAATGCAGTAAAAGCTTACAATCAAATCAAAAGCATGTGTAAAATATGAAGTAGGCTCCTAAGTATAGAATACCCAAGCTAGTTGATTAAATAATAGAGCTCATGATATTAGTAATTGGAGTTAAGGATGGCCGCAATTAAACTCTTGTTTACCAATAATAGCCTTATGGGAGGATGTGTGTCAGAAATAAATACTAAGGGTTTTGTGATCAATGTAAGTAGTGGTTATATGTTAGAGAATTTTCAAAGAAATAACATTTTAAAAAGGTTTACAATTGCAAAAGTTCTTTATTGAAGGTGTCATAATTAATATTTACATCTGTGTATGTCCAAGAATGAAAAATAATCAGATAAAGCTTGTTATTTAGTCCCTCTTGTGACAAAATAGCACCCAAAGTGAAATCTAAAGTATTTTCCTTGACAAAATATAATTTCATGTTGTCCGAAAGGAAAAAAAATTCAGGAGATCATAAGAAGTTTGGGCCAAATAAATAAATAAATCCTTTAAATTAAATAATATTTAAAGAGAAGCAATTTTGAAGAAGTCTTGAATAAAGCACTAAGAGAAATTCATATAGACAAAGAATTATTAAACATTATGAACAAAAGTTGAGTGTTGCCACTTAAGAATGATGGAAACCTTGGCAAAGTTTATAATAATGCCACATGAGGAAATGATATAACTCAAAAACTCTTCCAAATTTTGATTAGAAGAACATTTATTGGGTCTTACAAAAGATAAAACTATTGTCAAAAGAGGTGGCAATGAAGAGATTACAAAAATCATGAAAGTCATTATGGTAAAAAATAATAAAAGTGTTAGTTAGACCAAAAAACATTTTTCTGTATTCAAAGTGGCCATAACATGTACAAAAAGTTATTTTCCAAATCACCCTCATGAATATAAATGAGATTGGAAGCACTACATAAGTCAATCTTGATAAAGAACCAAACTTTGGATAAACACTTCAACAACTCAGAGATCAATGGAAGCTTTAGCATTATATGATTTGAGCATGGCAATGAAAATCATAACTTAGAAAAAAAACAGTAGAAAAAAGAAGAATAGCTGTTATTTTCAAGTAGATGACATGCAGTGAATGACAGGCAGCCTTGATACTAGAAACCAAATATGTTATCAGCATCCTCCACAGCCTTTTTTTTGGCATTTGGGTTCATCTTGTCAATGACTTCCTTACGTGGGTTAAACTTGCGGAAGTTAAACTCTGCAAGCAAGACGTAAAAACCATGCATTAAGTTACATTACACATCTCACCTCCAGTGATGCCATTGGAATCCTCCTGATGGAACAGAATACGGCTGCTATCAGACCAGGCAAAGAGTTTGATGCGGTATACCTATGCTAAAAGCATGAGCTGACTGAAATACTTGGCAACATGACACAAACCTTGAAGTACGGGTTGAGCATATCAGGGTACCTTAGCACCCCAATGTCAACCATGGTCTTCTCGTGGTACTCATGCTTGGCAAATATAGTTTCAAAGCTGTTAATGGTTGCCCCTGACTGAGCAACGATTCTCCCAAGAACTTCAATGTTGATCTTGGTTGATTCCAGGACGTCCTGATCTGCAATGAAATTCACAAACCAGGTCTGAACCTGGTTTGTAGAGAGAAGGCCCCAAAGGTTAGTAGAGCTCTGCTGTTATAAGACATAATGTCACAGAACTTACTGCTCTCACAATGGCCGAATCCGGTGACCCGTCAAACTTAAAATCATTAGAGCTTTTGTTGATAAACTTGTCAGCTCTGCTAACCCCGTCACCCATTGGCTCAACCAGGGGGTTTTGCATGAACATGGAGTTGACCTTCTCCCAAGTTCGCTCTTCTGGTGGCACTTTGGCGAGAAGAGTGGTGGTTCCCGCGATGCAAACCTTGAGAACCTCATCCATCTTCTTCACTGTTTCTGCATTCAGGTCCCCAAATGACGGTGCCAGGTTTGTGTGGAGGTAATCCTCGGCACTCGTGGAACGCACATCAATCTGCAGCTTTGCACAAGGATTGAAATTAAGCACTGCTTCAGACAAGACAGGTTCCACTTCACCTTACTGAAATCGAAACTCCCAACAATCTCACCAATCTCCTTCAATGAACCGAAGGCCTCAAGCATCGTCGCCATGGTTGCTATTGCAAATCACCTTTGGGATACACCGGAGAAGAATCAGTTTTTATAGTGGGCTGAATGAGTTAGTGCAACAGTGTAGCTTGACCACGTGTTTTTCTTATACTCGCACGTAGTATACTAACTTTAATGGTAAAACAGGTTATACATTACTTTAATAGATTAATAAGTCGGATAGCTTCATAAAATTAATTCTACAAAATATTAATTAATCATAAATAATAATATTAATAGTATTAATGTGCTGAAAACTTAAGCCAGAAGGTTTGCCATTGACATTGCACAAGTGGTCATAGAGACGACTTTTTGTTGAGATGCAACCTGTCTCAGAAATCATCAGTTTAGTAATTTGTATTTAAATCATGTTCTTATCTATGAAGACGTGCTAGAAAGGATGAACATGCAAGGAGGAATACATAGAAACTGCCAAGATACAGGCTGAAAAAAGACAATGGAGCCTACAGTTTATGTTGACTTCAAAAACCCTAAGCGCATATTCGCAACAATAATCAAATCATAGGCGGGAAAGTTTTGGACGTAGAGTTCTCCATGCTTGCCATGAGGTCGCCACTTTCTCATCCAGTTCCAAAGCCTTGAAAGCAATCCTCGCAAATTCCACATTGCTGTTCGCCTTGTAGCAAGCGCAGAGAATCGCCATCCAGAGCTTGGCCGACGACGACGAGCAAAAACTCGAGCTTCTCTCCGTAACCAGCATCACTGCCTCTTCCATCCTGTTGGCTCGACAGAGGAGATCGACCACGCAGCAGCAGTGCTCGATCGAAGGCCAGATCCCAAACTCGGAGCTCATAGCCTCGAAGAGGTTCTGGCCTTGCTCCACCAGTCCAGCATGGTTGCAAGCGCTGAGAACCACCATAAAAGTTACCGAGTCGGGCTCTTCCCTGTGCTGGATCATCGTCTCCAGGAGCTTGAGAACTCTCCACACCTCTCCAGCGTTGCCATAAGCCGCCATCAGCGAGTTCCAAGTTATCTGGATCCCGCTGGAAACTCGTCGAAAACCTGCTGGGCCTCCACTAAACTCCCACACTTGCCGTAGAAGTCCACCAGCGCGTTCACCACCTTGGCGTGGAGTTCTTCGTGGATCATCCTCCCGGTTTCCAGCGCCGCTAAATTTTCGCAAGCTTTGAGAACAGCGAGATACGTTACTCGATCTAGCGAGCAGCAGCTTTGCTTCTTCATCTCCAGATATGAATTTAGCCCAAGCTCGGCGTCGCCGGAATCGACGTAAGCAAGGATGAGAGAGTTCCACGCGATGGTGTCGTGAGTTTTCATCTGCTGGAAAACGGAGCGAGCATCGATCAGGCTTCCACACCTCGCGTAGGCATCCACCAAGCTGCTTCCCAGGTGAGTGTATCTCGGATCTTACAGCCTGTGAGTGAATCGCTGCGACTTTCTCTAGATGTTTTTCCCTGTGTTCTTGATCCTGTTTTCGAGCAGCTAAGTTCCCACACGCCTTGAGTGCCGCGAGCACACTTGTTTGGTCGTCCTTCTTCTTCGTCATGCATGGAAACGTAGAGCTCCAGAGCCACCTCTGGCTCGTCATTCTCGACGCATCCCATCATCATGGAGTTCCAAGACACAGTAGTCCGGTGCTGGATCCCATCAAAAACCCGGCTAGCAAGCTCCACCTCCTTGCATCTGGAGTAGAAGTCCACTAAGCTGTTCGCTATCAGTGTCCCGTCCGAGAAAACCACCTTGAGCTGCGTGCACAGCCATCCCTTTCTCCAGAGACTTGATCTTCACTCTCCAAGAGCGCTCTTGTGCGATCTTCTTTCCTCTCCATGAGTTCCTCCTTTTCTCCAGTGCCAACGATCGAAGCACACGCTTTGAGCGCAGCCACAAAAGATCGATCATCGGGCTGGAATCCCTCGTCTTTCATCCTGAGAAACCACTGCAAGAAGTCCACATTCTCGGAGTAGCCCCGGATCATGGCATTCCACGAGACCAGATCGACCAGAGCTCGCTGCTGCATCGATTGGAAGACGAGGCGCGCGTCGGCCGTGCTGCCGCATCGAGCGTGCACAATGCATACCTTGAGAGCCGCAAGAACGATGGAAACTTGGCTGGAGGCCATCCCGGCGGAGATTCTCGTAGATCTTGAAGGATTTCGAAGCGCCACTGCCGATCCCAAGCTTTTGCCCTTGGAATGGATTTTCATGCTACATTTTGAAAAACCCTAGATTCGCAAAGAACCCTAATCTTGGATGGATGCGCTCAAGGAAGGCAATCGCTCCGATTCTTGGCCGAGCTCGTCAGGTATGGTCTCTGGTCAGTGCCGGCATTGGATTCGAGGGTTTCTTGGCAGATTACAGCAGCGAAGACGAGGAATCCAGGCGGAAGAGGAGGCACAAGGACGAGAAGCGTAAGCACCGGAGAAAATCAGCAAGGCATTCTAGCAGCGGCAGTAGCAGCGACAACGATAGCGAGAGCGATGGTGGGAGGAAAAACAGGAGGAAAGATCGAAAGAAGAGATCAAGGAGGAGACATCACAGCAGTACCAGCGACGATGAAAAGGATGGGAAGAGAGTAAGAGACGATGATAGTGAGGAGAAGAAGAAGAAGAGGAGGAAGAGAAGGAGAAGCGAGGAGGAGGGCGAAAGACGAAGGAAAAGGAGCAAGCGCCACGACTATAGCAGCAGTGACGATGTGAGCAGCAGTGAGAGCGAATCCGAGAGAAGAAAGAAGAAGAAGCTACTGAAGGAAGCCAAGAGGATTCTCAAAGGTAAGTTTTTCTCTTTCTCCTCGCCTTTCTTTTTCTCTCCTAGTGACCATTGGTTTTCTTTCTTCCAGATCATAAGGCCTCAGCAAAGTCTGATGATCAACGAGCTAAGAAAGTGAGTCCAGAGGATTTTTCTGCCGATCGTTTGCTCTCATATCTCTTTGTTGTTCAATGCAGGTCGAGACGATCACAATGGACGATTACTACGCAAAAAACCCCGAGTTTGCGACATGGCTGAAAGAGAACCGCGGCCTTTACTTCTCGAGCTTATCGGCGGAGGAGACCCGGAAGCTCTTCTCAAGTTTTGCAGACGCATGGAACTCTGGCAAACTCGCTGACAAGTACTACCAAGGTATCAAAGCAGCGAAAAGAACGAATCACAAGTGGAATATAGGAGACGACAATCAAGGCAAGAACGAGTTTTCTTTTCACGTTTTCCTGCTAAAGCATGACTTACAGTGGATGAGGAGGATGAGAGGCTGCAAAAGAGGAAGAAGGAAAAGGCAGAGCAGAAGAAGTTCGTTAAGGAACACGAGCTTGTAATGGACGAGCTTTTGCCCAAGGCAACCGGCAAGGACAGGCTCTTGGAGAAGAAAGCCATCCAAAGAGAGAAGAACAGGAACCGCGATTTGAGTCCGGAGCCAATGCGAGAGACGGACTTGATGGGAGGGGGAGACGATTTCAAGATGATGTAAGTATTTTTTTCTCTCTTTGTTTTTCTGTTCTCAATCTTTACTCCGATTGATTTGTTGTTTGGATTTGTCAAGGCTTGCGAGAGAGCGTGCTCGAAGAGAAAAGAGAGCTAATGTGAAAGTCGAAGCGCTCCAGAAGAAGCTCTCGGTTGTGGAGGAAAGGGAGACGGCGGCGATGGACCAGTTTCGGGCTCTCATTAACACGTCGGGTGGAAAGATCACGATTCCAAAACGCGGAACTTAATTCCATCGAAACGTCAAAATATAACAAGTGTGTGAAGATTGGATTATAATAATTATTATTGTTATAAGCGCCACGAGGCATTGTTGTAGATGTTTTTGACAAATGGCAGTTTTGGTGTGTAAAAATAGTGTTGAAGTAGAGATTTATAAATGCTCAGTTTACATCCTATTCTATCAATAATCCAACTGTAGTTCAGGCTACACTATTAATATGAGAGGCTTATGGTTAATTGTTGTATTGGTATCATTTCTTTCTTGTCACGAGTGTTTCTTGCGCAGAATTTGTACTGGCCTCTGGCTGGATACTTGTGATATACGTGGTACTAGCAAGCAAGATGGCAATCCTGTAGTAATCAATGCCGGTTGCAAGAATTTCAAGGGTGAAAGGGTGCCTTCACAAGTTACATTAGAGTGGTGTGATTCCAACATTAAGTCATGTGATTTAGATCTTGGACATCAATACAAACTCTACTGCTATGACGGAGAAAATAAAGAGGTCGAGATTAACTCGAAAGTAAAGAATGTTAATGGCACCCTCGACTGTTGTACTTATGGATAAATACATGTTTTTTTGGTCTGGAGGCATTAGACCATTGGTGAAACCAATCCAAGTTCTATCCCCACTCTCTATCTTTTCTTGGGTTCCTCCCTAAACTCCTATGAGCGCATCAACTTAGTTTTAATATAAGAAAATTTATGTACTATCTTCTATTGTGAATATATATTTAAGGTAGACTACATAAATGCCAATGAGATTGGACAACAAATAATCACAACAATTGTCATTACAGCATATGTGAACCCATTGGTCTCATGCTTCTTGGGTGTTGCAAGATTTTATAAATACTAATGAATGAGATACATAAAGGACAAAATACATTAGTATATATATTTCTCAAGCAACCACTACACACAAATAAGGAATGATGGAGTAAACATATATAATTATTATTCAAAAAACATTCAAGAGATATCACATAATAAAGAAAATACAAACAAGAAAAACAACTTTCACAAGAACTAGAGAAGACATCTAGCTGTAGAGAAAGCTATGGTTAGCATTTAAAATCTAAAACTTCAATCTTTTCTATAAATTTAATAATAAAAGCATAAGGCATATCCATTACAAGGATATTCGCCCGAATATTTTAGGTCTTCACGACAATGGAGGACGGCAAGAGCAAGGGCGAGGAGGCGCAGCAACGTGGAGGTGGAGGAGCGCATTCCGACGAGGTGGAGCCGCTGGTAGCTCCAGATTTCCAGCTGCAAGCTCTTGGATCCAGGTTCGCGCGCTGCATTTGCTTCGCGGCTGGATCGCTCGGCGTCATGGCTGCTCTGGTGCTCGCATTCGTGGTCGTCCTCTCCACGCAGCACAGATCGGCTTCCTCGTCCGAGATTTCGAGGCCGCTCAGGGTTCTCGACAAGCCGCTGGTGATTTTGATCTCCTCGGATGGTTTTCGATGGGGATACCAGTGGAAAGTCCCGACTCCAAACATCGATCGCCTCATTTCCAATGGCACCGAAGCGTTCCCTGGGATGATTCCAGTGTATCCCAGCGTCACATTCCCGAATCACTATTCCATAGCTACTGGTAAGCTTTTCTTTCTTTCTTTCCTTCCATTCGTTTCTTAGAGATGTTTTCTTCGTGGAAGTACTTATAGACTTTGGCTGCTCTTACAGGTCTATATCCCGCTTGGCATGGAATCGTCGCGAACTATTTTCGCGACCCTGTTCGCTCGAGCAACGAGACGTTCTTCATGGGCAATCTCAACGCGAAGTGGTGGATTGGCGAGCCAATCTGGGAAACAGTCGTGAAGAACGGGCTTGAGGCGGCTGTCTACTTCTGGCCGGGATCACAGGTGGTGAGAAAGTCGTGGCCTTGTCGTCCCGAGATTTGTCCGAGCTACAATAAGTCGGTTCCATTCGAGGAGAGAGTGGACGCTGTTCTGGGATACCTTGATCTTCCACAGCGGCCAAGTTTCATAGGACTCTACTTCGAAGAACCGGATGAAGAAGGCCACCAAGTAGGACCGGATGCACCTCAGATCAGCGCTGCCATCACCAGGGTGGATTCTATGATAGGAATGCTGCTGGAAGGCCTTGAGAAACGTAACATCCTGGAAGAGGTGACGATCATCATGGTTGGCGACCATGGCATGGTTGGAACTTGCGATAAGAAGCTGATCTTCTTAGAAGACTTGGAACGCTGGATCCAAATTCCAAAGGAGTGGGTGGATTCGACAAGTCCGGTGCTCGCAATCACTCCGCCTCTCGACGTCGACGCAAAGGTCGTGGTGGAGAAGATGAAGCAGGGGCTGGCTTCTGGTAGTGTGGCGAACGGGGAGTTCCTGCAAGTTTACTTGAAAGAAGATCTACCTTCGAGGTTGCACTACTCCGCGAGTGACAGGATCCAGCCGATTATTGGGATGGTGGAAGAAGGCTACAAAGTCGAGTTGACACGTCCCAGGAAGACTCACACAGAGTGTGGAGGCGCTCACGGCTACGACAATCTTTTGGTTTCGATGAGGACGATTTTCATCGGGCATGGGCCGCAGTTTGCCAGGGGAAAGAAGGTGCCGTCTTTCGTTAACGTGGAGGTGTACAACGTGATTGCAACTATTCTCGGGCTCAACGGGACCAGTAACAACGGAACGACAGCTTTTCCCCAGAGTATCCTCCTCTCTAAGTAGCCCTCTAACCATGGTGAGTTTCTTCTATTGGGCTGCTAATCTCTAGCTAACATGTTTTCCACTGCAGAGTAAACGGTGAATAAGTGCACGGGCAATAGTGCTTGTAAAGTGACATCTTTTAAGATTCATTCTCGAGTGTGCTTCAAGCACGATTTTTTTGTCAGACAGAGTTTGGAGTCCTCTTGAGTTCTCCTCTCGAAGGTATAGTCTTCATTTCTGTCGCCTACTGCTGTGTTATTTGTTTGCGTTCTTTTTTCCTCGAACAGGCGTGATTCTCGCTCGTAGCTTGCCGCTATGAAGAATGACGGAGGCGCTGTGACGGATTTGAAGAACGAGCGCCAGGGAAGAACTTCGATAAAGGCTAGTTATACCATTTACGTTGGTGCAGTCCTTTGCCTTGCTCTTGCAGTGGCAGTCGTACTCCTCTCAGTCTCGCTCTCTTCATGCCACAAATCTGCAATGCGAGCTGATTCGCGCTCTACTGTCTCGCACTCGCTCAAGATTTTGAAGCAACCACTTGTGATCCTGCTCTCTGCAGACGGTTTTAGATGGGGTTACCAGTGGAAGGTTGCAACTCCCAACATTGATCGTTTGAAGAGAGATGGAACCGAGGCCTATCCTGGGATGTTTCCAGTGTACCCGAGCATTACATTCCCGAACCACTACTCCATCGCAACTGGTATGAAAGCCTTTATTTTCTCTTCTCAGCCTTGTTTAAATGGTGCCAGGTCTCTATCCTGCTTGGCACGGTATTATCTTGAACTCCTTTCGAGACCCCACCGACGCCTCAAGGAAAACTTTCTTCATGAAGAACGATACAAATCCAAAGTGGTGGCTCGGCGAGCCTATGTGGGAAACAGTTGTCAACCATGGCCTCAAAGCAGCAACTTACTTCTGGCCGGGTTCCGAGGTGGCCAAAGGCAAATGGACGTGTCCTCCGGCTTACTGTCACCGCTACAACGAGTCCGTTCCTTTCGCCACCCGCATCGATACTGTCCTGAGCTGGGTGGATTTACCGGAAGCACAGAGGCCGAGCTTGATCGCGGTTTACATCGAGGACCCCGATGCGGAAGCTCACATTGTCGGCCCGGACTCGCCAGAGATCAGCGACGCCGTCACCAGAGTGGACGCCGTGCTTGGAAGGCTGCTCGACGGTCTCGAGCGGCGGAAGATCCTCCAGGACGTGAACGTGATCATGGTGAGCGACCATGGCTTCGTGGGGACGTGCGACACCAAGATCATCTCCCTGGACGAGCTCTCGGCCGCGGCCAACACCAAACTCCCGGCGGACTGGATCGAGAGCGTCACCCCGGTGCTGGCGATCCGGCCCCCGGCTCGCCTCGCCGCGAAGAAGCTCAAGAGCATGGTGGCGGCGCTCAACGCTGCGCTTGCTTCCGGCAAAGTCGCGAATGGGAAGTTCCTGAAGGTGTTCGTCCGGGAGGAGCTGCCACCGCGGCTGCACTACTCGGGCAGTGACAGGATCTCGCCGATCATCGGGATGGTGGCCGAGGGATACAAGGTGGTGGTGAAGCGGCCGAGCGGGCCGGACTGCGGTGGCGCGCACGGCTACGACAACACTCTCGCGTCCATGAGGGCGGTGTTCTTCGCGGCGGGACCGAGGTTCGCGAGAGGCAAACAGGTGGAAGCGTTCGTCAATGTGGAGATCTACAACGTGGTCACCCAGATCTTGGGGATCAAGGGAGTAGCGAACAATGGGACCAGGAGCTTGACGAAGAAAATAATTCGCTAGATCCAAATGCATATTTTACAACGTTTTCTCCGCCACCTTTTGTCATTTGCTATAGTGAACCTTTATTTTAACTCTTTTTATTTCTATTTAATCAGTCGAAAGATAGCAATGTTCCATGAGTGTTATGCCCGGCTGCGACGCTCGCAGCACAGAGCTTGAATCATCGCCTGAGACGGAGATTTGCGATGGAATGTTGAGAGAGAACCTCCCCTGCGTCCGTGGCTTGCTGCGCGGTAAAGAATGGCCGCTCGCTGGCGGCTTTGCACGTGTAAGCAAGACCGTCATACCTGTTAGAAACAATAGGAGTTCCTATCTGAGAGGTTATAACGCTATTGCTTCTTGCGGCAGCCATAGGCCATCACTTTCGCACAGATGTAAAGAAGATTAAACCATCAAAATAGATAAGTGATTAAAACTCCTGGTATCTTGGGCTCAGTGTCCCGGCCACATCCCGGCAGTGAATCACGAGCTCTTTGCCTTGATGAGCTTCAAGTGAGAACCCTCGCGTAGAGATGAACAGGGAGATCCTTGCGCTTGGAGACACCAACTATCCTTGCGCAAGCTTACACTCTGAGCACGTAGCTGCTGCTGGTGATATTGGCAGTGATAACAGGTAAAATATAAAAAAGATTCTCTTTCAACTTAAACATTGTTGCTAGAGAACTCACGCTACTTATAGATCGATTTTCCTTGTCGAGAAGCTCGATCCAGTCTGGTGGTTCTTGCCGCTAGAGGCTCCAAACATCGGGGCGTTCCGGACAAAAGAAGGAAATGGTACTGACTTCCTTTCTCTTGTTTTGTGTATTCTTCAACAGCGAACCTTTGCAAACGGGTCGCTTCTCTAAGTTGTCATCTTCTTTCAAGGCCAGAACAAGTAATTGTCATTATTTTGGACATTTGGCTTTCTTCATGGTGCGTCTTCTTTGGATGTTCTTTTGTTTCTATAACTCTTTATCCTGTGGCTTGCGACAGGTGCTTAGAAGCGACTGTGAGTTTCACAAGCTCGCAGTCTGAGTAATGAAATCACTCATAGCGATAGTTTGAAGCAGGCATTCTAATCATCTGGCACTTGACAAGGTACATTTTCTCTTTCCTTCTTCGCAACTTCTTTGAAATGTAAGAACACTGAGACTTTAATCAAGGTTTCCCATGCTACAATGGATACCCAGCTGTTATCAATTCCAGCGAAGTGGGAAGAGTGCTGGCCCTGATTGTGGTGGAGGAAATGTTATTGGCATAGCCGTGACTGTTAGGAGATGAAAACATAACTTACTGAATGTTGCTCATATGCTGCAATGTATGCAATGCAACACAACACTCTGCTTGCTCAAATGCAGTTGTTGGGGGTTTGCCTTTTCGTATTGCAGAACGTAGTGTTTTAGCCTACAATAGCACAATCACCAGGTTAGGATAATAGGATAAAGAAAGGGCTTTGCAATCAAGTGATCACTTCTTTAGCCAGTTAGTTTATGGTGTAAGGGATAGGATCTTAATATTGGTATTGGAGCCCAATTTGATTTTTGTGGCTAATGAATAAGGCAAAAATATTTTGAAAGAATATTCAATATAGTGGATCTAGAGGGAGAACCAAGGTTTGATAGACCTTAAGAGAAGGACCATGGTGACCGAAAGGTGGCTTAAGTGTGATTGCGGAGGATTATTTAGTGACCAGAGGGTGGCTTAAATGTGATTGCGGAGGATTATTTGGTGACCGGAGGGTGGCTTAAGTGTGATTACGGATGATTATTCCTTGACAAGGGGAGGGTTGTTAAGCACCATGTCAGGATAATAGGATAAAGAAAAGGCCCTACAATCAAGTGATCACCCCTTTTAGAGTGGCCTAAGTGTAATCATGGACAATCATTCCCTAACAAAGGGAGGATTGTTAAGCATTAGGTCAGGATAATGGGATAAAGAAAAGGTCTTGCAATCAAATGATCACCCCTTTAGCCAATTGGCTTAGGGTGTAAGGGATAGGATCCTAATAGTGTAACAATCAATCACTATCGAAATAAAGGGATGATACTCACCATAGACAACGATCCAACACTCAATTGACACTCTTGTTAAATTACTAGAGTTCTTTCAGCTTGGAAATGGAAATGAAGAGTCACGCTACATCAATCTTGGAGTCATCATTCGAAATCCAAGGCACAATTAATTTGGTGGTGTGTGTCATTTTGCCCTAAATCCCCGAGAAACCCTAAACCAAATTAAGAACCATAAATTTAACAACTTTTGCCATCTTTAATCATTAATCTAGAAGCAACACATTCCAAGAACAAATTATAAACCATGAGAAGGACAATATAAAACCATTGTGTTCTAAGTTAGTATATCAGCAAAAGGCATCATTCCTAGAATTGATCACTTTCAAGATCATTCCAAAAAGTGATCAAAAAATCCTTATAGGCTTGGGCTTTCCAAACATTGGCTCTCACAATATCAAACTCCTGCACCTTGTAGACCAGCCCATCATAGATCATACTTGCGACTCTTCCTCGTCTTGCTTGTCACTCTAGAACAAAAGTTACAGAGCAAACAAAATCACTCTCCACTCCTACGCCTTGATCTTGTTCATCTCTTCCATCTGGGCACGAGTGTAAGAGCAGCCTTGCTCCATCATGCTACATGGTTGACATGCTTAGGTGGGCATGCTGAGTCCTAGGAGGCTCCTTTTCAATGCAATCACAACACCAACTTTGTGTGTATTAAGTGACATTGTAAAAGATCCAAATCTAAACATAGATGATCCAAGTATAAAAAATCCAAGTGTGCTCAAAAAGATCAACACCATGGTGAGTTCCATCTTACACAATAGGCTGTAGCTTCTTGGCTATGCAAAAACCAGAAAATATGATTAGCAATCCATTTTTTAACAAAAAAAAGAATCTAAATTACTATTGTAAATTTAAAATCTGACATGATTTTTGTTCACACTAAAATTTGTAATTGACTATATGATATGATCTGAAAATGTGGAATTGATTTTATTTTAATATTGGCATTTAGAGAGCTTCCCAAAGATAGCCAACTATTTACCAATACATAATAAACAACCCTAGCTATTCTACTTCTTAAATAATATGATAAATCACTAAATTTAAACTTAAATTTAATATAGCCTTAGGATATATTAAATGCTTATTATATTTTCAACTTAAAATGCCTAAAAAAAGTCAATGATAAGATTTTGTAGTGCATGTGGTTTATCCTATGGTGATTTACCATAGGATAACCACAAAGTGGAACCTAAACCCTTTATATGCCATGTGTCACATGCTATATGTCCAAGGACAGTGGAGCAGAACCCAAGTTTCAAAGCCTTGGGCCACTAAATGGAGGTATAGAGCCAAACTCTTAAGCTTATAGCCAAGGTGTGAAAGAACTGGAGCATGAAGTGACTCATGAGCATTTAGCCCAAATAGAGAAGGGACAGAAGCACGAAGCAACTTTAAAACAATTTTAGAACTTCTAACATCCCAATGCTATGACCAACACTTAAAACTAAGTTAAATAGAGTTTAGTGTTATTTCAGTATATCGGTAGCCTAACACGACAATATGGGTATTTCACCAGCTAGCATAATATGGAACTTGGGCTTAGACCCAAGTCAGACGTAGAACAAAGATAGACACATAAATAGGAGCTAAACTATACCTCAAGTTAGTTAACTATGCCCGATTTACCCATTATCCCTTTTATACATTTGTTTAGTCTCTTACAAAATTAACATTTTACAAGAAAAATGGCTTTGCAAAATAAATGCAAATTGAAGCAAACTAACATATCCCAAAGTTTCTTTATCAACACTAGAAATGAGTTCTTTTGGCAAATCTTCAATATCCTTTGGTGAAGGAGCTTGGACTATTTTGGAAGTAAAAAATAATAATTTAACTAATGCTAAAATGCCTAGCAAAACAAAGTTTTGATCTTACTTGAGTTCTTGCTCCATCAATTGGAATAAATTAGTAGGGATGTGAGATGCTTTGAAGTATTTACCACATTTAAAGGGACAAACCTCATATAAATTCCATATTGCAACCTAATCAACAATGTCCTTTGCAAGACTCCAAAGCTTTACTTATGCTATGCATTGGTTACATCGAGAATACTAATGTCCTCCATAAACTAAAAAAGATGCTTGTAAAATTATACCACTCTTTTGTACAATTTTTGCCACAAATGCTTGATACAATTTAAAGAAAACTCTCAAAAAAGTAAATTTCAAGAAAATATAAACTACTTACCTAGTTTCATATTGATATTTTATGTATAAAACTTCTTGCCTTTATGCCTTAACATTGGATCATATCAACCTCCATGCATTGTGTTCTAGAGTATTATCACTCTTTATTCATTTTGGCCTCCCAAACAACATATAACTTGTGCATATGTGTTGAAAATAGTTTGGTCGTAGATAGCTAGTAGGCCACAATAAAATGCATTGCCCCACAAACCATAGCATGGATATAAAACCTGTAAGTTACAAGTTTGTAATATGCTACAAAAACATAAAGAAATAGTTAGAAAAAACAAAGAAGAAAAACACTTATAATCTATATAGAATAGTGTATAAAGTGTCTTATTGGTGTAGATCTATTGATGAATTCATGATAAATGCCTAATTTGTAGCCTTCTTGGATTATATAAAATTAATGCCTTGCAAATTTAATACCTACTAAAATGTTAACTAGCTGCTTAATAACAAGAGTGGGAGTTAATAATTCCCTAATTTATCTTTGCATGATTCATGGGAATATTAGTCCAAACATGGTTAAGAACTTCCTCTATCGGTATCTTATGGTACATCCTCTTCCAATTTGTATCCACCACCCACATATATTTGTACAATGTTAGCCATGTAATTCCCAAATAATTTGTAAGGTAAGCTATGGTCTTTGTCTTAAGAATTTTCAAGTGCATCCATACACAAAATGCCACTACACTAGTAGATCCCCTTGACCTCAAAAAGCTATTAAAGCTCTACAAAAAGTACCATAATGAAGACCTTCCAATTTGGAAATTTATCTATTCATCATTAGAATGTCAAGATCTCCATCTTCATCTTCTCTCTCACTAGTTAAACAA